ATATTTGTACCCATCATAATACAGTAGGAAAATACATGGAAAAAAAATATATAGAATACAAATTATTGGTTATCATCCAGCAGTGTAGGCCTATTTGATTTCTTAGCCAATTAAAAGACATAAGAAAAAGCAAAACCTTTCAATTAGACAAAAGTCAAGTGTTTTTTTTTTTTTTTACATTTCTGTCCCCCTCATTTCTGAAATGATGGCTACGCCCCTGTGTGTGCAGGACAGAAAACACCGTGCCAGTCCCCTGCTAGAATGGTTTAAAGTCATATTAAAATGCACACAAAGGAATCGATAAAAGGGAATCTATTTTAATTTTATAACAAGTAGATGATTCCTGATCTTAAGCATCCTATTCCAGAATTGGAATAGATTTTGGATTCCCAAGCCTAGGAATGGGTTAACATGTTAAATAAAATGCTCTTTTTTTGTCCTACCGAAAATGTGCCTGGAGTCCACCTTTGTTAGAATCAGAACCTCATTTCAAGCAAAAAATTACTTACAGAACATATATATATGAGCTGAATACAGCTTACATTTATAACAAAGAAAAAAACACGACGACTAAGAGAAAACTTCAGTTTAAGGCTGTAAGTGCTATCATTACCTCTTCCTCTTCCAGCTCCTCCTCCTCCTCCTCAGTGGCATTGATCATTCCCAGAAACTCCTTCTCTCCAACGAGCCCCAGGTCATCATCATCATCACCATCTTCCTCCGTGTCCGAGCTGCTGTCAGCGACTCCGTCCAGCTGTGTGATGTCCAGCAGCTGCTTGAATTTGAGCTCGGTCTGCAGCTCCGTCTCAAGCTGAGGAAACATCATCAGAGTCATGTTCAGCAGCAGTGTTTCTACATTGAAACCACAAGAACCACAAGGCTACGTGAGGACAGTTTTTTTCAGGTGAACTGAAATGAAAAATCTCTTATTTACTCACACTCCTGTCATCTCAAAGTAACCCATAGGATTTTCTCTTCTCCGCTCTCAAATCTCACTCACAGACTTTGTTACAATCTGATTTACATCCACATTTTTCAATGGATTTCACAAACACTTTCAAACAATGGGCAAATAATTCTCTCCAAATATTGCCGTTTTATGAGGATTTTTTTAAATTCCAGAATCACTATAATTCATATTTACTTGCTTTGTTTTAGTCTTTGCATGCAGACGAGGTAGAGAGAAGTTACCAATTTTATTCCAGCCGAACAAAATGCATTTGTTGTTATCTGCGAGTATTACTTGGTCACTTCCCTTTCAGAATCAGAAAGAGCTTTATTGCCAAGTGTGTTTATACACACACACACACACACACACACACACACGAGGAATTCGTCCAGTACAGAAAGTACAGACATACAGTGCCGTTCAAAAGTTTGGGATGAGTAAGATCTTTAATGTTTTTGTTTTTTTTAAGTCTGCATTTATTTGATCAAAAATACAGAAAAAAAAACTTAAGCCATTTTGTGAAATATTATTGCAATCTAAAATAAGTTTTCTATTTTAATAAACTTATTTAACTTAAAACTGTAATGTATTTCTGTGATGCGCAGCTGTATTTTCAGCATCATTCCTCCAGTCTTCAGTGTCACATGATCTTCAGAAATCAGTATAATATGCCGATTTATTATCAGTGCTGGAAACCTTTGCTGCTTCATATTTTTGGGGACCGGTGATATATTTTTTGTCACAATTCTTTGATGAATAAAAAGTTAAGAAGAAGAGCATTTATTTACAGTATTTATTATTGCAATTATATTTCTCAATTAATTTTTTCTGTATTTTTGATCAAATTATAAATACAGTCCCGATGAGCGTAAGAGACTCCATTAAAAACATTACAATCTTAGTGATCCCAAACTTTTGAACGGCAGTGTACATATAATTTAAGCTAATCAAATGAAATAACACTAATAATAAATAGAATAGACAACGAATTAAAAAAAACTAACTATATAGCAATAGAAATGTATAGAAAATATATATCAACACAGACAGAATTATAAACGCACAAATGAGCTATTTACAGCGGAAAGTTATTTGGTGAGATGTGCAGTCCTGTATTGCTCGGTGGAACGAGTCTGGAGGTGGTAGTGACTAGAACTCAGCACTGCTGTCGTGTTCACAGGTGTTCACCTTGATGTCAGGAGCAGCTTCAGTCTGCAGGTCTGGAAGGGCAGTGGACTGCTCTCTCTGCTGCCGGCTGTAATCGGAGCGCAGGGCCTGAGCCGGCGGAGTGCTCATGTCGGCGGGCTGCGGGCTGAACTCAATGCCGTCCAGTGTGAACTCGCTCTGAGCGTCAGAGGCGGCCAGCGAGGCTCCGTCAGCGCTCTGGCGGTTCAAAGGCGTCTCACACACTGAGGCTGCTGGAGCCGGATCAGACAGATGGGTCAGAGCGCTGCTGCGGGCCACAGCCGCGGGGTTCAGCACATGCTGAGATCCTCGCGTCACCATCACAGGAACATTCACCTTATAGAAATGCCCTGAGGAGAGAGTCATGCTGCCAGTTCAGATCATTTACAGCAGCACAGAGTGGCTAGTGGACTCCTCAACTCCATCTCAGTCTGCTAATCTCCATTCAGAGAGGCACAGCTATGATCTACTGACCAGACAAATATTTGCCTTTATTTATTTGCTCAATGTAATAAACCAAATCACTTTATTGTGTTTATCATAATTCTCCACGCTTTACATTTTGAAAACTGCCGGTGTAGAGCCAGAGGCGGACAGTAGTGAAGTATTTTTACTCTGCTTTAAAAGTACTTTTCAAGTGTCTGTGCTTTATCAGTGTTTTTCTTTACATTCCAAAGCATAATATTGTACTTTTTACTGCACTACATTTCATATTAAATATAATACTTAATCACATTAGAAATCTAGTACTTTCTTACTTTTACTCAAGTAAACTTACTCAAGTACAAGAAAGTACTACATTTTTAATATTCTTAAGTATTAAAGGTAAAAAACAACAACAACTACTTTTATTTATGAACGTAGTGCAGTAAAAACTACGACATTATGCTTTGGAATGTAGTGAAGTAAAAGAAAAACAGTCTGATAAAGTGCAGACACTTTTTAATTTACTCGAGTCAAGTAGAAATACTTCGCTACTGTCCGCCTCTGATTAGAGCTGCTGAGTTCATAAGTGTATGATTAAACACACTGCTTTGGTCTTCAGTCTGCAGCATGTGAATGATCTGATGTGGCAGACCACGCTGGATCCAGACACTTTAACATTCATCTGAACCCGTTTTTAGGATTAATGCATGTCCTTTTCACTAAGTCCTCTATCACTCTGCAGAGTCTGCAAGCTAAAATCATTTGAACTCAAATTAATGTTTCAAGTTCACTGTGCCTGAAAATACCCAGCTCAATCCCAGCAGCTGAGTCCTTAACCATCTTCAAGAATCGGCTAAAACACATCTCTTCCATCTTTATTTGACCCTCTAACTCTAGCACTCTCTATTCTAATTCTATTTTATCTATTTGTTTTCGGTTTTATTTATTATTATTTAGTGTTTTCTAACTGTTTTCCTAAAAGAAAAAAGCTAACACTAGCTTTCTATATTCTTTTTCTATTCTATCTGCCTGTTTTCACTGTGCGCATGTATGTATTTATATAAATTATATATAAATATATACACACACACACACGGGCGACATTAGGGAGGGGCAAGGCCCCCCCCCAAAATTGTTAGTCATGAAATCCCTGATGTTGGTCCCTCACCGTGTTTTTGCAGCGATGAGCAATGTAGCCAATCATAGACATATCTGTTGATTTCTTGAACACAATGGCCAATCAGAAACGTTTTGTCAGAATTCACACCGCTGAGAGCGCCGCAGTTTTTAAGAGCACTTTTGCACGCTTGTGAATCATCTCATGACTAAGTGCGATGTAAATAAGAAATTCATTTTGCAGTTTAGAGAGCTTCATTGATTATAATGGAACTTTGGAATTTCGCGATGAACGAAGATGAGTGATGCTTTTTAGTGAGAAAGGGAGGCACTTTCTAGGGTATAATCCGTTCAGAATTAATTTGAAACATTAGTTTTTCGGACACATACACCCTGCAAAGTTTCGGGAATGACATACGCATATTTATGCGGGATTCACTCTCGAAATAGCAGTGATTGCACTGAACATAAAATATATGTGAAAGCAGCCTCAGTGATTCAATTCTGGAACCGGTCCTGCCCAAACCTCGACAGCACGCGAGCTGAGCGAGATCTAATTCACTGACCAAAAAGTGTGTGTAAACTTTATTGAGATCGGGACATATCAACCAGTAATTTAATTTAATTTCCAGGAACGGATGGTAGAAAGTTGTATGCATGTATGTGTATGTGTGTGTGAGTGTGTGTGAGACAGAGAGAGTGTGCGTGCGTGTGCGTGTGTGCAAGTGCGTGCGAGAGAGAGTGAGTGTGCGAGTGAGAGTGTGTGCGAGTGAGAGTGTGTGCGTGAGAGAATGAATGCGAGAGTGTGTGTGAGTGTGTGTGTGTGAGAGAGTGAATGCGAGAGTGTGTGTGAGTGTGAGCGAGTGAGTGAGTGAGTGTGAGTGAGTGCGTGTGTGAGAAAGTGAATGCGAGTGAGAGTGAATGCGAGAGTGAGAGTGCATGTGTGTGCGAGTGAGTGAGTGCGTGTGTGAGAGCGAGAGTGCGAGTGAGAGTGAATGCGAGAGTGTGTGTGAGTGTGTGCGAGTGAGTGAGTGCGAGTGTGAGTGTGTGTGTGAGAGAGTGAATGCAAGTGAGAGTGAATGCGAGAGTGAGTGCATGTGTGTGCGAGTGAGTGTGCGAGTGAGAGTGTGAGTGTGTGAGTGCGAGTGCGTGTGTGAGAGAGTGAATGCAAGTGAGAGTGAATGCGAGAGTGTGTGTGAGTGAGTGAGTGTGAGCGAGTGTGTGAGAAAATGAATGCGAGTGAGAGTGAATGCGAGTGTGTGTGTGAGTGTGAGTGTGTGCGAGTGAGTGAGTGCGAGTGTGAGTGTGTGTGTGAGAGTGAATGTGAGTGAGAGTGAGTGCGAGATGTGAGAGAGTGAGTGCGAGTGAGAGTGTGTGCGAGAGTGAGTGCATGTGTGTGCGAGTGAGTGTGCGAGTGAGAGTGTGAGTGTGTGAGTGCGAGTGCGTGTGTGAGAGAGTGAATGCAAGTGAGAGTGAATGCGAGAGTGTGTGTGAGTGAGTGAGTGTGAGCGAGTGTGTGAGAAAATGAATGCGAGTGAGAGTGAATGCGAGTGTGTGTGTGAGTGTGAGTGTGTGCGAGTGAGTGAGTGTGAGTGTGTGTGTGAGAGAGTGAGTGCGAGAGAGAGTGTGCGGGTGAGTGAGTGCGTGTGTGAGAAAGTGAATGCGAGTGAGAGTGAATGCGAGAGTGAGAGTGCATGTGTGTGCGAGTGAGTGAGTGCGTGTGTGAGAAAGTGAGTGCGTGAGAGAGTGAATGCGAGAGTGTGTGTGAGTGTGAGTGTGTGCAAGTGAGTGAGTGCGAGTGAGAGTGAGTGCGAGAGTGTGTGTGCGAGTGAGTGAGTGCGAGTGTGAGTGTGTGTGAGAGAGTGAATGCGAGTGAGAGTGAATGCGAGAGTGTGAGTGTGTGCGAGTGAGTGCGTGAGAGAGTGAATGCGAGAGTGTGTGTGAGTGTGAGTGTGTGCGAGTGAGTGCGTGGGAGAGTGAATGCGAGTGAGAGTGAATGCGAGAGTGTGAGTGTGTGCGAGTGAGTGCGTGAGAGAGTGAATGCGAGTGAGAGTGAATGCGAGAGTGTGAGTGTGTGCGAGTGAGTGCGTGAGAGAGTGAATGCGAGAGTGTGTGTGAGTGTGAGTGTGTGCAAGTGAGTGAGTGCGAGTGAGAGTGAGTGCGAGAGTGTGTGTGCGAGTGAGTGAGTGCGAGTGCGAGTGTGAGTGTGTGTGTGTGAGAGAGTGAATGCGAGAGGGTGTGTGAGTGTGAGTGTGTGTGTGTGAGAGAGTGAATGCGAGAGGGTGTGTGAGTGTGAGTGTGTGTGTGTGAGAGAGTGAATGCGAGAGGGTGTGTGAGTGTGAGTGTGTGTGTGTGAGAGAGTGAATGCGAGAGGGTGTGTGAGTGTGAGTGTGTGTGTGTGAGAGAGTGAATGCGAGAGGGTGTGTGAGTGTGAGTGTGTGTGTGTGAGAGAGTGAATGCGAGAGGGTGTGTGAGTGTGAGTGTGTGTGTGTGAGAGAGTGAATGCGAGAGGGTGTGTGAGTGTGAGTGTGTGTGTGTGAGAGAGTGAATGCGAGAGTGTGTGTGAGTGTGAGTGTGTGCGAGTGAGTGAGTGCGAGTGCGAGTGTGAGTGTGTGTGTGTGAGAGAGAGTGAATGTGAGAGTGAATGCGAGAGTGAGAGTGCATGTGTGTGCACGAGAGTGAGAGTGCATGTGTGTGCACGAGAGTGAGAGTGCATGTGTGTGCACGAGAGTGAGAGTGCATGTGTGTGCACGAGAGTGAGAGTGCATGTGTGTGCACGAGAGTGAGAGTGCATGTGTGTGCACGAGAGTGAGAGTGCATGTGTGTGCACGAGAGTGAGAGTGTGTGAGTGAGAGTGTCTGACCTGAGGCTGTCTGCAGCGTGACGCCCGCGGGGATCTGCACCGGATACGTGATTCCAGCCGGCAGAGAGAAGGTCGCGACAGAACCACAGCTGCTCTGAAACACATGCAGAGTCTGTACACTTTCATTTCACTCAAAGCTTCACCCGAGCAGATCAGCATCTACAGGAGCTCAGTGAGATCTTAAAGGAGAACCTGCATCATTTAATATGCGTGATCAATATTAACCCTGTAAAGCCTGACATATGAAATAGTCCGAAAAAACAAACAGTATATTAAACCTTTAAACAAAAATAAACTAAAATCCAAAATTAAACATTACAAAATGTGTTTTATGTTATCTCCATTTGACCCTCTAACTCTAGCACTGTCTATTCTAAATCTACTTGTTTTATTTTTATACATTTTAAAAAGCCTTGCTGTATATACTGCATTAGCCTAACTGAGACTTGTCACAGCACTTACACATTACTGCTCTTTTGTTGGATTGATTGCTTCTATTGTCCTCATTTGTAAGCCACTTTGGATAAAAGCACCTGCTAAATGGCTAAGTGTTAATGTAATGTGTTGTATATAATATTTGATCCATCAGGCTTTTATGGCTCACATAGTCTGATAAAGTAAGAATGCGGAGGGTGAAAAAGGCTCAATTTTATTCAGAGACGGAGCAAAAAATATGCTGCAAAATATTTGCTGCAGATGCTGATATTTATACGATGAAATTCTGATGCTTGTGCTGTAAATCAGTGAGATCTTTCTAACAGCACAGCAGATACTGACATAAAATGATCTAAATATCAGCGCTGCTTGTGCTGTAAATCAGTGAGATCTTTATAACAGCACAGCAGATACTGACATAAAATGATCTAAATATCAGCGGTCGCTCTATAAATATCACTCTATATCTCCAGTAATGTGTCTCAGTGAGATGAGAGTGAAATGCTCCAAACATATAATGCAGTGATTGAGAGCTGAAGAAATAAAGGCTCCTCAGAAGATGTGAGATGTTCTGGAGGCTTGTGAAGATCATTCCTCCGCTGAGGAACAGTGAAAGTAAAGCTTCTGGAAACAAACGCTCCTCAAAAGATCCTGAGGATCAGATTTGAGACTCTAAAACATGATTGATGGAGAATCAAGTAAAGCTGAGCTGCTTCAGTGCAGTAAGTGTTCATCTGGAGATATTACTGCAGTTATTCTGACCTTTACTTGATCAAAACCAGTCCAGATCTGACACGAGAAGCTCCAGCTGAAGCTGGACGTTTCTACAAATACACTAAAAGAGCTTTGACTGGATAAAACACTCTAAACTATCAGACGACAGAAGACATGAGGAGATTGAAATTGAAACAGGTTTAACAGCTAAATTTGATCATTTAGAGCCTTAGAAAATCATGATCAAATATGATACAGCAGCTTCCTAGGATCAAGCATGAATCACTGGATAGACCGTTCAAGAGGTTATAATGCGGAGTACTGAACATGATCATCTGAAAAACCAGTGACCTTAAACAGCTGTGAAATATATGCTGTACACTACAGACGGTCTGCGTTTGTGGACTTACTGCTTTGGAGGAGAAACTCGGCACATTCTGAGCTGCTGGAATGACAACTGAGAACAGACAGCAAAACGTTAAATATAAATGAACAGAAACAAAACAGACAAAGTGTGAAAGCAAACGCATGTTTTGAGACACTGATCACAGGTAATGAGTGATTGAGATCGCAGTAACTGAAACCAGCAGGAGTTCAGCGTTCATTCAACTAGACGTACTGGTTTCTGGTAAAGCAAAATGATCAGTGTTACAAACATGTTAAACATTGCAGTTTAGGCTGTTTAACTTGATGCTAGCAGCCGTAACGGCGTGTATTTATTACGAGTGCATTAGCTGTGGACTGGAAACAGCGTGATTGAGACGCAGAACAGACCGGTGGGTTTATGGAGACT